AAAGGATATTAAGCAATCAGTAGTTCATGAAACGTTATAAAACAAATTTTAAATGTTTATAGCATAGACTCTTCTGTCACTTCATATATTTTAATCTATCTAATGAAATTGAGAAAAGAATAAACTTTTAAAGTGTAACTGACATGATTTTTTTGGGTATTTTTTTATTGGCTTAATACAATCTTCTAACAATAAAAATGATGTATACTTAATTGTAATGTCTAAAAAAATTATTCACTGAGATATGAGCTTCCAAAGTCTGCATTTTTGCTTCCTGTCATTTTACGTCACGCTATGTGGGTGAGGCTTCTTGTGATGTCATACAAGGCAAGGCAGTGAACACATGCAGTTGTGTGCAAGTAGAGAAGTGAGAAAAACAATGCCAAATCGCTGTGTAGCTTACAGTTGTAGCAATACTACTAATGTTGCGGGCATCAGCACTTATTATTTTCCTAAAGACAGTTGTTTAAAGAAGAAATTTGTTGATCAAGTTAAGAAAACAAGGGACAAATGGAGTGAACCAACTGCTCACAGTGTTTTGTGCTGCAATCATTTCAGTCAAGATTGCTTTGAAGGAGGCTTTGAACTTGGCAAGGGATTTGGGATTAAAAAGAAAAGGAAGCTAAAAGAGAATGCAGTTCCAACCATATTCAACAGAAATCAGCGTGATGACTGTGACTCCACTACATCCGCAGACAAAGAGGAAAGCGTATGAGAAAAAAGAACAAATTAGGGTAAAATTTATATAAACTATCAGCATGGCAATTTTTAAATACTGTATGCTATAGCAAAGGGAGTCAGTTACAGCAACTGTCTGTCACTACTCAGTCGATGATGAAACTGTAGATGAGCCCTGAGCCAAACCGAGCTGAACCTGAAATACTAGCAGCTGCAACTCATGAAGTTAATGTTAGTTCTGACAATGGCTATGCCTTTACAGTGATTAATATCACATTAATATAGACTATTGGTACTCAAGTAGAAGCTAATGTGAGATGTAATGGTTCAAATTAGGTTCCAAAAAAGATCTAAAGGCATATAGCTATGTTGTACAATTATGTTTCGGCACTTTTGACCATTATCACTTCTACATGTACATGTAGGTTCACAGACAAGTATTACATGCATTGATGTTGGAATACAATGTGACCTGTTATCTCATGATCAATTTCCATCAGCTAATTTGGCTTCAGAAGAACTAGACTCTGTAGCTTTCAGAGACTCAGAAGTGGATAACAAATCTGAAGACTCATTTAGTAATGAAAACATCAATGAAGAGACCAAAAGTTCCATGTAAATGCTATTCTATAGTTGACATTAATTCATGATGTTTTGTTCAGATCCAAACCAGAATCCCAAGTGAAGTACATTGTCTTTGAAGCATAGGCGTAGCCAGCCTAGGAAGAGAGGTGAGGCAAAAGGGAAAGGAAGGAAAATGGCGCGCGAAGCGCGCCGCAATTTCGACCACACCCCCTTTCCATCGCCGACATTTACGCATATTTTCACGCACAGTACATGATAATAATCTCGTATTTACAAAATATTATCAGATTCATATGATGATCCTGGTTCAGTTGCCTAGTAGGCCATTTTGGGTTTGAGGGAAAAAATGAAAGCACTGAAGCTTGTCTTTTGCTTGCCATCTTACGTGCCTCAATGTGGTTAACTGATTAGTCTAGTGATTATAAAAACTAATTAGACTACTAACAACAATCAATGACATCATTATTTCAAGATGGTTGACTTCCTCTGCCTATACTGCTGTAGAAGAAAGAATCAAAGGAGTGCCTCTGACTGCCTCAACTTGCATGAGGCTTGATTGGTAAGTAACATTTGAGCTCACAGAGTCAGGTGAGGCATTGCCCCTCCATGCCTCACCCTGCCTACGCCTATGCTTTGAAGAATGTCTGCTTTCACTATTTGAGTTCTGTCATCATTGCCACTTTCCTTGTACAAATATATATGTGGAACCTTTATCCACGTAAGACAAAATTGATATCTGTGAGGCTGTCAACACTTGGGAGAGTCAACCTCTTATGAAAGGAATTCCAGCTTGCAATATTTTACTCTCTGCATCTATTCTCTTTAGTGGTTCTCTACCTGAGCAAGCACTACATATTCTGAATCATTTTGGCTGCTCCACGATTACACCAAGAAACTTTTTCCGTCATCAAGATTCATACCTACTACCAGCTATTTTTCGTGTTTGGGATCATTATCAACAAGCTTTTATTTCTCAGTTTTCAAGTGAGAACACAGCACTTGTTCTTGGTGGTGATGGAAGAGCTGACAGTCCTGGACACTGTGCCAAATATGGTTCTTACACATTGATTGAATTGAACCAAAATATTGTCTTGGATATCCAGCTAGTACAGGTACTACTTATAACATTATAGACACATACAGTATGTATACTTCTCTTAGAGTAATGAGGTAAATTGAAGTACCATATGGAGGAGGAAGGCCTGGTTAGGAGTGTCAAGAAGCTTACAGACTATTGTCTGAACATATATTGACATATTAGTTACTGACCCACACCGACAAATAGCCAAGTGGATCAGAGAAAACCTCACTAATTTACACACTATTTTGATGTGTGGCATGTTGCAAAAGGTATTTATACCTGTAAAAACTTAAATCATTATAAATCATAGGAATCCAGAAGAAGTTACTAGCCCTGGCAAAGCAAAAGGATTGTGAAGTAATTGGAGATTGGACAAAGAGCATCATCAACCATTTGTATTGGTGTGCAATGTCCTCACCAAGTAATTTGTCTTCATCACCTGACTTAATTAGAGACAAGTGGGTCTCTGTGGTCAACCATATGCACAATAAGTACTGCCACACTGGAACCTTCAAGAAATGTGCACGTGGAAGAATAGCAAAAAAATAAAAATGGCTCAAACCACGTAAGATCACATAGTATATTCAACTTAATAATTAATACAATGACTTTAGACACCAAAGCAAGTGAAAAGGTCTCTGCATTACTGCAAAGGACACAATTGTGTAACGACACACGACAGTTGTCACCCTTGCACCAGACTTCAAACTTAGAAGCATTTCATAGTCTATTAATTCATTTTCTACCTAAGTCTACTGCATTTTCTTACCATGGGATGCTTGGCAGGTAGCTATGCAGTACTATCACACACCATGCTTCTTAGTTTCTATTACATAGATTGCGACTAGCTGCTCTACATTTTAATGAAAACTCCAACAATGTACAGGCACAAACCAAAGTTTGCAAAGGGAAATATTCAATAAGCTTTCCAATCAGCAAACATGGCCAACATGTTGTTAGGAAAATTACAACCGAATCAACATATGGTAAGAAATATAAGTAAACTCTATTGTTACATCACTATTATTATATTATGTACATGATCTGAAGCAAGAGGTCATGCATGTACTTAATGGTATTCCCCAAGATTTTACCCTGTTTGATGACAATTCACCTCCACCGCTTTGCAGTTCATGAGCATCCTGATAAGCATAAAGCAATAAATGCACACAAAGGCAGATTTTGTGAAATTTAAATTATCATTATTATATAGGCAGTAGCCTATAGTAGGATTGAGGTTTGTTTTTCAAGATGGCGACCGTTTTTATGATTTTCAAACACTTATAACTCTTTTATCTTACGATGTACAGCCTTATAAATGGCTTAGATGAGCTCTCCTTCAATGAGCAATTCTCCTGGTACCTTTAATGGACTGTAATGTAGCGAGAACTTTTTTGAAGAATAGGCCCTTTCTTTCGTCTTCTTCTATGGCCCCTCTAATCTTTTAAACCAGAGAACCGCTCAAGTTGGCTTTTACATCATTCCTTTGTGCTTGGGTCAAGGACCACAAAGGTAGATTCAAAAAGAAGCAAGGAGAGAACAAAATGTAAGTCAAAATCCAGCTGCTGACACCGCGTGGGTTTGTGGTTTGACGCCATTTTAATTTATGCACACGTGATTAGCATGAATATGATTAACCTAACCACAGATTCAAAACAGAATGTAATTTCTTAATTTATAAGAAAAAAGAATGAAAACAAGTAAATAAAAAACTTTAAAAATGGAAAAGCA